GTAGGTCATCTTAAACTTACAATTCCATGGAAAAACCTTTATACTCAACCAGTTGAAGCTGTATTGGAAGAAATTTATTTACTCATAGTGCCTTCTGCTAGTAAGTCAAATTTTAAAAATTATCATTATTTTTTTAGACAGGGTCATCTCTTGCTGGGGCTAGAATGTAGTGGCATCATCATAGTTTCACTGCAACCTCAGAGTCCTGGCTTCACTGCTGGGGCCTCCTTAGTAGCTTGTCTGCAGGTGTGTGCCACCATGCCTGGCGAAAGAAAAATCTTTGTTCAGAATACTTTTGGAGAATTTCTTGAGCTACCTTAATATTTAAATTTGGTATTATTCAAATTAAATTGGTTTTTAACTCTAAATTTTTACAGACTTTGAATTAGTGATTAAAGAATGTTTTTTTTTGTTTGGGAGGATGAGTATATTTAAGGTAATTAAGATTATTCTTTTCTATGCTTCCTATAGGAATAAAATATGATCCTGTAAAAGAAGAAAAACAACTCATGGAAGCAAAGCAACAGGAACTAAAAAGGATAGAAGAAGCAAAACAAAAAGCAGTTGACCAAGGTAAAGGAGACAGTAAATGTCAATGGTTAGTTGGTAGAAAAGACCTTCGTATTTATCATAATAGAAGGCCATTTTTGTCTGCGGGTACTGTGATTATTTAACAAATGTGAGAGAATCTTATTACATAGAGAATTTTAATGTCATTTGTGTGTTTTGGCATGGGTACAGAAATTTTGTAGAAATTTTTTTTACTTTTCTAGCCTTTGCTTTTTTATTCTTATATCATTAGTTCTTTATTCTTTTGGAGATACTTTGTTTCTTTATGTACATGTGTATACTTAGTTTCTTTATATACAGTATATATATCCATATATATATATATATATATGTTTTTGCCTTAATCTGTTTATTACCCTCTTATTTTCATCTTTGTCTCTTCAACTTAGACCACATGATCCATTATTACCGTCCCCGTTTTTATAGCAGAACAGGTGTCCTGCAGAAATCTTAATTTTCTTTCTCCTGTCTTCTGGTTATCATCACCAGCTACTTTTCACATACTTTGTCTCTCATCTCTTCCCCTACTGGGTCTTTCTCCTCAGCATGTAAATACAATGTAGCCTCTTCTTAAGCCATAAAGTCATCTTCCTAACCTAGTCATTTCTTTATCTTCTCTTTCCTTTGTTTAATAGCTAAACATTAACATTTTCACATGTTAAAAATGTGTATGTACTGACTTTGCAATTCCTAGTAGGATGTAAGCAGTCCAATTTGTACAAATAATTGACACATTGAATCCCATAATGGCATAAATGTATTCCTGACCTATGTACAAATGACTTAATAAAAAAAAAAAACTTCAATAATAAAATGTTGTACCTTTTGATAAAAAGTAATGGAGATTTATCACATACTCCATGGCAATACCTCTTGTACTTCTGTTTTCTTCTCTGTCATAATTCTTTTCATATCTTGTATAGTCATTTACCCACCCCTAATCCTCTCTACATCTCCTATGCTTTTTCATTTTAAAAATTATTTTTATTTTTTCAAGGTAATGCATGGACATAGCTTTAAAAGTTCAGTAGTGCTATAGAACACATAACTTTAAAACAATCAGGTTTCTGGCTCAGCCTTGTGCCCTGCTCTCTAGAGAACTGTCCTTTTGCCAAACAAGATGCTCATATTCCTGTGACTTGATTTGTTAAGTTTAAATCTTAATATGTTATACATACGCCTTCTTTTATGATGGACTTTGAAGATGGACCCCAGTTTTCCATCTTCCAGATCTTTCATGTTTTGGTTAAATCAGTAGTCATTGTTTCTATTATCATAGCTGTGTATAAATATTTATTACTGAGCCCAAAAGTATGCTCTCATTACATGTGTTTTCTAGCATAACTTTGTTATTTGTTTAACGATGTTATGTGGCTGTGGCTGTAACTATTTATAATGTGGATTTTTGCTTAATCTTCCTGCTTTGGGATGGGGCTTTCCCTGTCCTTTCATGTGCATGGTATCAGAGTCTGGAGCCTGTTAGGTCCATTTTATTTAGAATAAACTTTGTGTTCTCACTAGGGTGGGAAAGAGATAGTCACCTTGCTATTGGGCTCGGCTTGTGTTCTCACTAGGGTGGGAAAGACACAGTTGCCTTGCTATTGGGCTAGACATTTATGTGCTCATTATACAAACTTAAACCAATTCTGGTATTATCAACCTCTCCCTCCATCATGCTGTTTGCCATTTTTGTTTTGTGGGGGTCTCTAGTTCCAGAATATTTCTAGGTTTTTTTTTTTTTTTTTTTTGAGACAGAATCTCATTTTTGTCACACTTTGTAGAGTGCCTTGGTGTCATAGCTCACAGCAACCTCAAACTTTTGGGATTATGTGATTCTGTTGCCTGAGCCTCCCAAGTATCTGGGACTACAAAGCCTGGCTATTTTTAAGAGATGGGGGTCTCACTCTTGCTCAGGCTGGTCTTGAACTCCTGAGCTCAGGTCATCTACCTCCCTCAGCCTCCCAGAGTGCTAGGATTACAGGCATGAGCCACTGCGCCTGGCCTAGGGTTCTTTCTGTTTTTTTAAACTCATCTTGTATTTAATTGGCATCTTCATCTATGGGCATTTGGGATTGAGTTTCTTCCTCTCTTCTGTATGCTAAGGTCATCTGCTTTCCAGCTTCAAGATTTTTGTTGCTTTTTCATTCTTTTTTCTATCCTCTTTCTTTTGACTTGGGGATTTATTCTATTTTCCCCCTTTATGTTTGATTTAATGAGGTTTTACTGAGGAATAGAGAAATGCATGTAATTTACCATGTTAAATGAAAAGTCCCTCCTATTTATATGTAGGTCTACAATGTAAACGTCTAATCATGCTTAAAATTCATTGGTGAAGATACAGAGCTCTCATGATTTGAATCCTGCCTACCTCTGCATCCTCATAACTGGCTTCAAATCCTTTATTGTTTGCTCTTCCCATACAGAACTATTTGTAGTTTACTAAAATTGACAAATTTTCTATACTTTATGTCTTCAGTATATGTTTGAGAGTTATCAGCAGTAGTATGATAGTTTAGGCTGTAAGGTCTGGATGCGAATCCCTTCCGCAGCAAGATAGAGTAAGAAAGAAATAACTTAGGACTGAACCATAAGGAAATCAAATACTTTGTGATTGTATGGAGGAAAACAGACAAAGAGGATCAAAAACAAAGGTAGGAGGAGATTTGGAGTTTATGGTTACATGGAAAAAGGGCTGTTTCAAGAAGCAAATAATGTATCAGAGGCTGCTGAGATGTCAGGTGAGAGGAGGAGTAAGAAATCATCATTTTATTTATGACATGTAGGTCCCTGGTCACCTTAGGAATAGCTATATTGATTGAGTGATGATGGCAGAGGAATTACCTTCCTGTATCTTCTTTTTCTTCCAAAACTGGGGGCAAAGTCATCTGCTAAGAGTAAAGAGAGAAGGGAGAGAGTTGGAACGTTGAGGAGAATGAAAACAAAATTTAAAATGATGGTTCCACAGAGTGTGAGCATGCTGACCAGAGAAATGTAGAAGGTTGCTGGTTGGTTGAAATTGTGGACGACTAGTTTATAATAATTCTAATCTGTCTGGTTGTGATTTTTTTTCCCTTTAGAAAAAAGACTAGACTTTTTTTTATCTCACCTGGCAAGACAAGCATAGACATGTTTTTATATAGATAGTTGGTTTTATTCAGAGTTGGGGCTTTATTGTCAAAGGAAAACGAGAAAAAAGAACAGAGGAGTTTTAGGTGTTGGTGAAATGATGTATTGTCGTGCAATCTGATGTATGAGAAAAAAGAACAGAGGAGTTTTAGGTGTTGGTGAAATGATGTATCATGCAAGCTGCCTAAGGAAGTCAGGAGGAAGTTAATGTGTAGTGAAAGAAAGATTAAGCATTTAGTGTAATGACAATGAATTTAAAAGAGTAAGGGATTATTAGATAGTCATGGGATTCAAACATAGAATGTGATCCTCTGGCTTAGCACCTGTGGCTCAAGTGGCTAAGGCGCCAGCCGTGTACACCCAAGGTGGCGGGTTCGAATCCAGCCTGGACCTGTCAAACAACAATGATGGCTGCAACCAAAAAATAGCCGGGCGTTGTGGCGGGCGCCTGTGGTCCCAGCTACTTGGGAGGCAG